TGTGTGCGTGCGCGTGTGTGTGTGTGTGTGTGTGTGTGTGTGTGTGTGTGTGTGTGTGTGTGTGTGTGTGTGTGTGTGTGTGTGTGTGTGTGTGAAAGACAAGGGAGTGTGAAACAGTAGAAGTGTGCCCAATGAAGACACGCTAAAGCTCTCCTATTCACCGCCCGACTCTGAGGTGGTCATCCAAAAAAGGTGATGAGTCATCCGTTATTGCATTTGTGAGTCACACTGCGTATTTAAGGAGGACAAAAAGTCCAGTAACACACGGTGGGTCAAATCGTCCAGTAAATGACATTTAACAAAGAAACAACAACAAGCCCATACCACATCAGATACGGTATTGAGAAGTACAAATATTTAAGTGGAGGTGAAGTCCATTTTTTTTTCTCTGCAATATGTTCTGGGGTCTAGTCGAGTTAAAAAAAAAAGTATTCTAATTAGTACTGAAATCGTAGAATATGAATTCATCAGAAAAATCCATCTGTTTTTATCCACATCAAGGGGCGGCCATTTTGTCCTTTAGCGCCACCTGGTGTCAACTGAAATCGACATCCCACAGGGGCTCAGCAAGCAAACGTCACAGCTCACCTGTTTTTTGGGTCATGTGACGCAAACCCGCACCTCCAATAAGGACAAGTTCAAAAGTAAAGGGATGGATAGAATTTGAAGACCTTTTAGAGGAGCAACAAAAAATGCTTGCAATATCGCTGTTATTATTTCTACCTTTGACATTTAGAAAATGTGGGAAGACATTTGAACAAGAATCATGGCAGTCGACGCACAAGATTTGCTTCTGCAGGGCACACAAAATTAAGTGATGGGCCGGATCTGGCCCTCGGGCCTTGAGTTTGACACCTGTGGATTCGAACATAAAAGTTTACCTTCATTCATCAGTTTTTTTAATCGTCAAAAAAACTCATTGTCATTTCTTCTCATGTGAAAAAAGTCAACCCAATAAATGAACAAAAAAGCTTTGTGGGAAATGTGGTGGGAGCGGGGGGCGCGAAACAAGCGAGGCAAAGACACATTTCATATTAAAAAGTATTTGTATTGTCTTGTCAAACTGCCCTACTGCATAACATACACCATACATGTACTCACTATACAACATGCCTTTTCCGGATTATAACAACAAAAAGCAATGACAATATATGTACACAGCTGGGTTACAAGTTGTACTGATCCCTTGTGCCTGGACAAAAAAAAAAAACAAACAACTCCGCCCCTGGGCCACGGGGTCTCCGTTGAAAGAAACACAAACAAACACGTCATCAGAATAAAGGGATTTTCCGTTACTACTGTCCAGGATCGGGTGATAGATGCAATAAATTAAAGGTAGAGAACAGTGGAAAAGTTCAAACGCGTCCGCCTTCATCCTTCAATACATCCCGGCCGTCTGCAGGAATACTCGGCCCTCTGAAAGAGACGCAAACACAAGATGAACGATTTGAGCGCTTTTATGGCGAATCCTCCAAACGATCGTCAAATTTGATGCCGATGCGTCTGCCCGCGTGAGACCACGTCAGCAGAAAATATTCACGCTATAACGGCGCCCATCTGTCGAGGATGTCTGCTTGGGAAAGGGCATAGATGTCAAATTCCGGTCCTTGAGGGCCCCCGTCCCGCATGTTTTCCATTTCTCCCTCTTGCAACACACCTGATTCAAACGAAGAGGATCGATATCAGGCTACTGCGGAGCTTGCTGAGGAACTGGTCATTTGAATCAGCCGTGCTGCAGCAGGGAGAGATGGAAAACGGCGGTCCTTCGGGGCCCGAGTTTGACACCTATGCGATAGGGGCTCGTTTGGGGAAATTCCCCTGTTGGAGCCTATCAAAGTACGAGCCCTGGAATTTGTCCGAAACTCATGCGCTACATCAAAATGGTTGACTTCCTGTTCGACTTGCTCAATGGGTCCTTGAGACGTGTTCGTGCATCCTGACGAGCACCCAATTTTGTGTCGATTGCTAAAACTGGTGTCACGGGCTTGTTTTTTGGGTCATCTGGCGAAAATGTGACGTGCAGTTACCACATATGATTACACCAAGGGAAAAAAGGGGAGGTAGTTGCTTTAGAGTGCCTCATTGTCTGCCATGAGTGTGAGCGCGACACGATGAGGGGAGAAGGAAGAGCAGGGAAGAGGGCAATGTATTTTTAAAAGTTCGACTTGACAGCCAGAGTGCAGACAGGTGGTTGTGGCTCGTATAGTCGCTGTAGAGTGCCTTGTTGTCTGCCATGAAGGCACACATGGCACATGGAGGAAAGCAGAAGAGGAAGCAGGAAATTATTCTCTATATTATCGTTAAATTGGACTTGGCAGCCAGCGTGTGGACCGGTGCTTGGGGTGCCTCGGTCTCGTTAAAGCGGCAACTGGAGGTTTTACGCCGATAGACAAGATTCTGTAGGTAAAAATAGATAATTCAGTGAAGCGCACATGCATGTTTTTGCCATGCATGTGCGACTACCTGAGATCTGAGCACACGAGTGAAACCTCCCCCGCCAAAAAAGTGAATTCTTTCTGGAAGAATGTGTTTTATGTAATCACTTCATCAGTATGATAAATCTCGTACATTGCTTTGACCAAAGGCCATTCATAATAAGCACTTCATAAGAAAGGTTCAGAACAAGGCCTTTTTTTTTGTTTGTTTTTTTTTTAAGGCGTTTGATCCCCTTTTCTGCGCGATTAAACTTCCTGGCACAAAGGAAGCGCATCCTGCCCCCGCCGTCTGACAGACAATTCCCCTTTAAATGATTTATTGCTGGGTGTTAATTATGCAAATGATGTCCAAACAAACTCATCACGAGAACAATTAAGACGGCCGTTAATTAGTGGCCAGTTCTCTTCCTGCTTCACTGGCATTCAATTAAAAAAAAAAAAAGGGTCTTGGAACAAGCTCGCTGTCTGCTGCGGTCGGCCCGGGGTCTGGTCTATTGGGTAGTTGGAGAGGGGTTTGGAGGGGTGGGGGTTAGAGTAGAGGGGGTCTCCTGCCAGGAACGCTGTCTTTCCTTCTCTCTCTGTCTTGTCGAACACATTTTCCTCGTTAATCCAATGGTCGCGGAGATAAATAATAAATATATTAAACGTCGCAGTGCATTAAAACAGAAGTTGCAGTCAAGCGTATCGTACTCAGCGGTGTTTCTCAGAAGTGCTCCTGCGAGGCGGGAAAAAAAAAATCACTGAAAAGTCCTTCCAGTAGACTGATCAGCGAGGCATCAAGTGAGAAAACGTGATCAATTACTACCCCTGGCCAAGGGTGTTGTGCGGGAGCTCTAGTGGCTTGCTTGTAAGCAAGTGCCTCCGCTACTTGTTATTTTTATTTCTTGACTTTGCTTTGAAATACCTTGAGGTCCTTTAACTGTAGATGCTTTTGAATGTTGTCTTTTTAATCCCCCCATGCCACCTGTAACCTGATAAAATGATAAATTGTCCCTGAAAGGGTTAATTGTGTGAAGCACACTGAGTGAGCTTGTAAGATGAATGCGCTACAAAAAAGTTAACTTGCCTTTTTGTTTTGGAGGTACAGTCGTTCGATTGATTTTTTTTTTTTGCTTTGTGTTGCAAGTTTGTCTCATTGGTTAGCTTTCGAAATTTACTGTCGAACTCAAACGGTTCGATAACGCATACAGACACAGCATGTGACATTACTCATGTCGGTATGTATGATATGTATGTATTATACTGCCCCCTTGTGGCCAACGCATGCATACAACAAGGAGCAGCACGATGCCCATTGAATTGGAGCAGCAAAAAAAAAAAAAACATGACAAAAAATATTGAATTCTTTAAATTATATTTGATTTGTTTTTACAGTATGTTTTAATAAAGTGCAGTATGGTACAGTCCTATTTTTCCTCACATTTATTGGCATATTGATGGGATTTTAATTCGTTTGGTGGCCAAACTTTTTCCTCTGAGTTCCACATACAGAACAACGGAACGCTAGATATGCTCTGTGTAACACCAATTTGTTCTTATTATTGTTATTAGATGGTAGGAAGATGTGGGCTGCAACCCCAAAAATAGTGTTGCAGGCCGTGTTAAATTATCGAGGTTTGTTTTTCGTCTACATTCCCCTACATCACACCCCAGCGAAGTTCAAGCGGACGAACAAGGACACAAGCTGCTGTGAGTCGCAACTCGACGGCTCTTTTGTTGGGCACCTTGCACTGTTGCCTTAACGTCCAGCCTGTCATCCTCCAGCTTGACGACGTCCGCGTCCTGGGTCACAGAGTCTGTCAAGAGAGAGGCGGCTGATGATTGATGTGCTGCGCTTTGGTCATTAATGAATAAAGGAAGTCAATTATAAAGCTAATGAACAGTCGAGGCTGCCGCCAGTTAACGCTTGTTGACATTTATGTAAAAAAAAAAAAAAAGAATGCTTTGTGTTTTCGGCTAACCCGAGAGCGCGCCGGCGGCGTGCTGCAGGAAGCCGTGCTCCGCCTGATCTCGAAGTTTCACCTCCTCTTCCAAGGCTTCCTGAAGTCTCCTCTTATTCCTCTTTTCCTTCTTCAGTCGCTTCTGAATGAGAACTGAAAGAATTAACAGGAGGAGGAAAAAGTGATGATGCCATCTATTAGTTTTGGCTCATCTGTAGACTGACATCATATCGAGAAAGCTCAGGTGAGATCATCAGGCATTAGGTCAGCGTTGTTGCGCTCACTGTTTGGGACGGGAGATTAGCTTTGGATGCAAACTCTCTTGAGTTAGCTTTTTATTTTGTACATTTAAACTTGTCAAAACACGAAATACATTGTAGACATATTTGTATGGAAAAAAAAACAGGATGCATCGTAATGTCTGTGTGTGCCTTTAGGAGGCAGGGCTGCATTCGGTGGTGTTGACATCATGGAGTCTGTGTGCGAGTGTCTGGATGTGAGCTGTGGTCGACAGCAGCAGCTGTGCTTTTTGTCACAAAAAAAGGGGCTTGCCTCGGTTTTTCTGCTCCATGCTGAGCTGCCTCTCCAGCGTCTCTCGCAGCTCTCGCTCGCGCACCAGCTCTATCTTCAGCTCGGTCCTCTCCAGGTGGTCCTGCTTCTCCTGCGCCCGGGCGTTCTCTATGGCAACCCTCAGGAGACCCTGCTTGGAGACACACACGGGCGCACATCAACAACAGGTTACACGCCGGAACGCCCAACAGCTGCGGCAAACATTTGACGGCGGCCCCGCAAAAATGGAATTTGCATATGAACTTAGGTGGGAATCGTTCCAAACAATCTACGGTGAGAATTTTGGCACCATCCAATAACTACAAGGAGTTTCTGTTGTTCGGATCGAAGGTGTCACAATGCAATCAAATCCTACTTGATCACTTTTACTTACTTACTTTGACTTTCATATATTAAGAGTATAAATATTAGTTTTCTCAAAAACAGCACCCACACAAAAAAATCTTGGAATGGAAATTTTTCAGGAAGGAGGTTTTACTTTTTGGCCATCAATAAATGACGAAGCAAATGTTTGAATTAAAACCAAACTTTAGCAGTAAATATTTAAGTAAGACAGAACTTAAAAAATGCACAACTTAATCAATTCTAACTTAGCATAAAATATTTAAGATATTAATTTCAAATGTCAATGGATTGAATTTATTCAAAATGTTTTTTTATTGTATTTATTTTATACAATAATTATCATACATTTATGATGCATTTTTTTTTATCCATATATTATGCCCTGAAAAGGAAGAACTATTTTAAAATCACGGTGGGTTAAATGCATTTTATTTATATTTTAATATATTTTTTCTTTTTTACTTCATTTATTAATTTATTGAAAAAACACACTCAGTCATTTTATTTATTCTTATAAAACGATGGGTAGGTCTGCTGATGTCATTCCCATCTTGTGTGTAGCTCAAATCTCAAAGGGGTCAGTTTAGGTGACAAACCAAGTTCTTGTTTTGTTATTTTTTATTTTCACAGAGTGAAAACCAAGCTGGCGCTGACTCCTCCACAACAAAGACGTGAGAAGCAGGCCACCGCACGCCCATCGCAATTGAACCGGATCCTAAATGTCTGCGCCTCCTCAGCTATTTACCATTGCGTGACTCTCTAAAGAGCGCTTCGCCGTCGCCCTTCTATTCATCTCGGAGTATAATAGCGGCCATGATAAGAATGGCAACAAAGCCCCGGCAGAGCCTCACCTGGATGTTGGTGAGCAGCGTCTCTATAGAGGACAAGCCTTCCGGGAAGATGAAGGGAGCGTGGTGGAGACCCGCTGCGAGCTTGTGTCCCGCGGGGTACGGCGCCTTCTCGCAGCCGTCCCTGCTCGCCGGGGGGTGTTGGTACACTTGTCTATCACCGGCCAGCGGGTTGGATTCTGCCAGACATTGAGGAGAACATTTCTCAGGCCCTAATATGGAGACACTTTCACTCCCTTGAAAAAGAACAAATCAACAAAAGACGTGATCCCCGCGCGTCGTGCCAAAACCTGATGTAGTGTGGATTACGTCTCTTTTGTTCCTTGACTGTTACGGTCTCGCACGCCAGTCACAGTCATGAACGGACAAGTAATGCAAACATGTTGAATCGATCATGATTATTGACAGATTTCGAAAGGAAAGAGTTGGGAACGGCGGACGAAAAGTACACAAACAACAGCAATTTGTTTTCATCACAAGAACCGTTGTCATTTCGTTGAAAATGCACTGTATCGCTTATCCTCGGTCTAAATTGCAACCTGTGTATGTCACAAAACGTTGGACCTCGGAGAACAAAGATGGACCCTTACAGTGCTCCTTTTCCTGACAGCGTAAATATTTCCAGTTGTTAAAAAAATGAGTGAGCCGATTTATAATGTCCATCCAGCTATCCGTTCTCTACCGCTGATCCGGGGTCGAGCAGATTTACAGTGTGGGAATTACGAATTTGTCGTGGCCCGGTCAGTCCGCTGTCGGAATGTACATAAGTGGGCTGAAATGGTCACAGGCCATTGCTAATGTCGAACCGTCAGGTCCCCCCCCTTCCCAGCCACAATGGTCTCCGCTTCCGTAAAAGTGCACTATTATGCACTGCTTTCCAATTTATATTTTACCTGCAATTAAATTCAACAAACGCGCTCCAGCCTCGACACGAAAAAAAAAAAAAAAGATAAAGGCGCTGCAAAAATAAATCACAAAGACATTTTCTCATTCTGCCGTAAAACATTTTTATGACGACGTGCCGCATTTTGACAGCTGCCGCTTAAAGTACCTTCTGAATTAAAGTCTTGTTCTTGTGACCAACGCGAGCAGGCTGCACTTGCAGCACACTCTTGAACAAATCCGGCCAGATGCTATTTTGGTTCTCCGCAACACATTTGAATAATTTACAGCTTTCTAATTTGTTGAGTGAATTTCTTGTAAACACATAAAAACCACATATTAAATGGGTGTTTACACTAATCTTTGTCCCGGTTTAGGATTTCTCTTTTTATGACATGGCAGCACGCCGATTGATAATGCATCACAGCTTGACGTGGCCCATAAAAAGCAGCAAAGAAGAAGAAGCTGCATTATGGCTGACCATCTGTTTGTACACGTGAGAAGCACGCGTGTGCACGCCCGCCGCACGGTAGTGGCGCGAAGTAACAAAGAGCGCAGGGACTCAAGGTGCTAATAAATCAACGTTCAGAAAAATCGCCACAGATAGAAGACAAAATCGAAATCAAGCCGCTCGCAAACATTTTAGCCATGTCCCCTAAATGCGTCAAATCACACGCCACTGAAAAACATGGATGCTACTTTCTATGCCCCCAATGAGAGGTGCTAGCCACCAGCTAGCTCGCAATTAGAGACGTTTGATACCACTTTTTTTCCTCACCAATACCTCCAGTACTTTTGCTACATAAAATTTCATTTAACACAATGAAAAAAAATAAGACCTTTCTTTCTAATACAGATGCTGACTCGTAGTACTTTTGCTACATAAAATTTCATTTAACACAATAAAAAAAAAAAAAGACCTTTCTTTCTAATACAGATGCTGACTCGCCGATGTGTCAAACTCTCATCGTATCACGCCCACTATTGCCAAGGAGGACCTTTTTTTGCATCGTGTCTACAATGTCTCGTATCGGAAGCCTCCATGAGTATCCGATACCTGGTATCGGTACTCTCCGAGCCATTCTATGTGGCTCCACTTGACATAGCTAGCTTGCTAATTGTAACGTGTAGTGGTAGAAACGATTTTAGGAATAATAATTAAGTAATTTCTCCGCACACATTAGGCGAGATAACCACTAATGGAAATGAAGGTGCTGATGTTTTTATATAGTTGGTGAGGAGTGGCTTGTGCATGATGCCCAAGTGCATCAATGGGCCCCATTGTTGCCACGCCTAAAAAAAAAAAATCTGAAATGGTGAAAAACAATTTGACCTTATCTCCCGTTTTCACAAACTGCATTAGAAACTAAAATATGATTCGACTTTACAGCATCTTTAAGTGCATTTCATTTAGTCAGTCATTTTTTTTACTTTGACTTAATGAATCCAATCTGTAATTACACTTTTACGAGTGTCGTTTTCCAGTCAGGGTGTGTACTCATTAAGTTCCGAATGCTAGTACTTTGCCATCTCAAAAGATGAGCCATTTTTAAAATCCATATTGGACACTTGTTTTTTTTTTATTTAATTTTTTGGTCAAAAGTGTCCGTAGAGGCCTAGCAAAGCTTAAACATGCAGTTTCATATTCGGACACTTTTTTTCCTCCCCTCTGTCTCATCTCTGTGTGACAAATGACAGTGTTTTCTCCACTTAGCTGACCGCAGCATCTTTCAATCCCTCCCCCCCCAAAAAAAAAAACGTTGACTTGGCCTCACGTCTTGGCAACTGTCACATTCAAGGTGTTTCACAGATGAGAAACATTGCCCACCCCACCCACTCACCCTCTCCAACCACACACACACACACACGCACGCACGCACGCACGCACGCACGCACGCACACCTTCGTCTATTACTTTCAAGCTAAGAGCATTGCTCTGCAGAGAAAGGTAATTAGCAGGTGCTGGCGAGCTCAGCGGAGGGCATCCAACGACACTCCTGTGGCCCACACAGACACATGCGCGCGCACACACACACACACACACACACACACACGCACACACACACACACACACACACACACACACACACACACACACACACACACACATGCTGATAGCCCGCTGAAGTGCGCAGTCAGCAGCGTGGGCTCCCCAGGCTCCTTGGATGTGACTGATCCTTTATTGAGTTACTGTTTTACGCCTACTTTACCTCACTCTCTCTCACGCACACACCCACACCCACACCCACACACACACACACACACACACACACACACACACACACACACACACCCACACCCACACACACACACACACACACACACACACACACACACACACACACACGCACATCTGCGGGCCCGTTTGATCATTTACCCATCTCCCTAACCAAGGTCACTGTCTGTTTTCTCCCCCCCCCCTCCTCCTCTTAAACTTCATTGCTCTTTCTTTGCGCTCTTATTCCTCTCCCGGCCGTCCCCGGGGGGCATCGAGCATCACCACGTGAAGACTGCCAGTCAGCGGAAGAGAGAGCGAGAGAGAGAGATGGGAGGATAGAGGGAGGGATGGAGGAGAGGTGAGTAAAGGAGGAGGGTGGGGGGAGACAGAGCCGGAATAAAATTCTGCTGATGTTTGGTTAATGGGAGTGAGGTGTCAGGGATGGCCTCTGATCTTTGTTGCATGGAGACGTTGTTCAAAGAGCGCACGAAACAGCACACACAGCCAAATCTGATTCTCTCTTACACACACACACGCACACACACGCGCAGATTTAAGCACAATGGATTGACAGAATGACAGCGCCGACGTGCCCTCTGAAAACTTTGCCCCGCCCCCCCTCCCCCACTCCTGCCTGATCTACAGAAGAAGCATGTAATCCGGCAAATGTACGCAGGCTTCATTTGCATGCGGGAAAATCAATTCAAAGTCAATTGCATAAATGCGGCGTCCACCCCAAGGAGGCCTTTGCGCGTCACCGTCGCCGCCTTTGTCAATATGTTCACAGCGAGCTGACAGCAGCCCCCACCACGAAAAAAATAAAACAACCTTACCTGAGGATGCCTTTGTGATTTGGGAGATTTGATTTAGGGAATAATGCGATTCGGCATTAGAATACATTTGCACGGGGCGCTCCTCGCTTGATTTTTCTGCTGACTGTTTTGTCCTTGAGCAGTCCTCATTAAGCTAATGCAAAGCTCACGGGCAGAGAGAAGCAAACAAACTGACGTTGCAGCGCCGCGCCGACGCCGGGGCCCTAACGACAGGGAGGCGGGTCGTTATGCAGATGAGGTGCGGGAGCGCCGCCCGGCTCGTTAAGGCCGCGGCCCGGCAAATGGCTGGCTAATGCCGCGCTGTCCGACGGAATGGTTGGCCTTCGCTCTCGGCGGGGGAGCGCAAGGCCGTCATCGACCTGTTGTTGGGAAATGATGATGACGTTGCCCGCAGCACCTTAAAACAAGTGTGCGTTTCTGCAGTCGTCAGAGTACAGTTTTGGAACTCTCAGTTCAGTTGTACAGATATTTTAGATAGTGAAGAAAATGTATAAAGGGAGACAAATGATTTCTTGGGAAACGTACTTGTTGTCATTTGGTCACCGCGCTTCCAATTGCGAAAAGTCAACGATTGTGGAAGGAACAAAATAAAAATAAAAATGAATGAAAGAGTCGGTTCCTTAAATCGTAGCTGCGTTTGAGAAGCCTGCGAAGGACGTCGCGTTTGCATGGATTATTCAAAGTATCCAAACATCCTATTGGCAGCTCTGTTCCCTGCCTATTGATTTGCCGGTGGAATAATCATTACTGATTAAGAATCTGCAAATGATTAATCGCTGTGACAAGAACATCTCGTTAAAAAAAAAAATACCCAAAACAAAACAAGACACGATGACCCAAAGCGGATGCCGGAGTTGTTTGTGTCCTAAAACTTCTGAAAGTTGTCTCGTCTCGTGCATTTCAGCAACAGAGACTCTCCACACTTTGCTTTTCAGCCCCTTTATAGAGCAAAGACGACATTGCAACGCAGTGCATCTATAATTCAAATTTTGAATCACAGAGAAACCAGTGACGGTCACCCACACACAAGAAGTGAGTTGCAGAACCCCGCACACAACCACTGTACCCGGACCCCAAACCTGAGTAACCAGAACCAGAACCCTTCCCTTTAACCCTGACTCTCTGAACCTGAACCCTGACCCGCTTTTCTTAACAATTGAATTCCTATTTTTGTGGATGGTACCTGTCCGAAATCACATAAGTTTACCTTTGTCAGCGCGCCCCCTTTTGCTTTCCTTGCTGTATTCCATCGAGTCCGACTCTCTGACACCCGGCTGTGCCAACACGCAGTGACTTAAAGTGACGCCATCGGGGAGCTGATCTGAAGTCAAAACGTGTAACGAGTTAATACCGTCATTTGTCGCTCGTTACGTTCACTTGATGTTCGGGAGGTACATACGCGTGTTTTCTGTGGCGCGTTCTGTGCGAGAGGGAGAACTGGACACGCTGCTGTGATTGGACGACATCGGAGCTTCCTCCAGCGAGGGGGAAGGGGAGGGGCTGTCGTCGTGCATGCGCTCCTGTTGGCAAACGACAGAACGGTTCTTCACGAAAACGGACAATGTCACAAAACAACACAACCCATTCAGAATCCATTTTCATTTGGCAAGACAACCCACAACATGGGGGGGAGGGGGGGTACCTAATGAAGAGGCCGGCGAATTCAGGCCACCTATGAAAAGATGGAAAACGCCCGAACGTTTTTCCCAGAACAATTGGGATCGTTGCTGTTAGTCTTGGAAACAGGGAGCCCTTCAAAAACAAAATCTTCCTCCTTGCAATCAGGAGGGAACTTTTTTTTTTTTTTGAGGTCTTAAAACGTGACATCATCCTGTCTAGTCACATGTAGTACTGATAATGTGTTGTTACAGAGAGAATGAGCAGGAGATTGGTAACTAAGAGCAATGTTCTCACAACCATTTTCATATCGTATCAAGAAAACTGACATAGTTTGGCTTACTTTGAAAAGTTTCGTTTGATGAATCTTTAGGGGAGGGCAAGTCCTCCCCAATAAAGAGGAGAACAATACGCATTTTGTTCATGGACAAATCGAACCTTTTGGAGTGTGCCATGTATGTTGCTGCATCTATTTGGCGGTAAAACAAAATAGTCCCGTTCAAATATAATGTGGAGCTTTTAATATACACACAAAAAACGGCAGCTGTACCGCACCGTGGACAACTTTTTGGGGACGGGTGTCCCTCCTAAATGTGGTCTGTAACGGGCCGGAAGCTATGAAACAACACGGCTGCAGTGCGACGGGATCCTCGTTTTTCGATGGGCGTTCACCTTAATGACGGAGGCGGGGGGCCGGGCGGCCGGGTTGGCGTGGTGGAGCTGCGCCATGTTGGCGATGCTGGCCAGCGTGCTCAAGCGGTTCATCTGGCCCATCGCCATGGAAACGGAGGCCGGTGCCAGACTGGCCGGGATCAGGGGGTGTGACATCATCATGAAGGGCAGCTGGTCCAGAACTTGAGGTGGAGAAAAGAATAAGATGAGTGAGGTTGGATTTTTGCCTGACATACCTTATAAGGGGATCCTTCCGTAATCTCCAAGGAGGAGGTCCGACATCAGCTGAAATGTTTGATTGTGAACCCATTCAAGGACTCCGGAAAACTCAAACTGTCAAGGAACGGCACTTCGAGTCATAGAATGCACTTAAAAAGTTCAGCACGAGTCACTTTAGCAAATCGTCACAAGCCAGAAGAAATTGACCGATCATTACAAGTTGCTAACCGTAGCTGAGGAAAAACAATCTGACAACATAATATTCCAAATCAATACATTGAACAAACTGTATATGTGTATGGTTTGACGTACTTACGGGAGTGTTCTCACCTGACCAAGCGAACGGCACCAAGGCAGAACACAAACAAGAGTCGGCCTACCAATCAAGTGGACGAAAACGTTATCGTGTGAACACTTTGGGGCCCTCGAGAGCCCCAAGTGGGATATTTCTTTTTTCCCCCCCAGCTTTCCCGAATCGCGTTTCGTGATATTCCGGTTGCGCTCACGACAGCACCTGGACGAAATTTACGCTGTTCGCTTCACTGGCGACAAACAAACAAACACGTGTCCCTTTTGATATTCCGATGCATTTTCGCCACTTCCAAGCGCAGCTCATCTCATCTCGGCCAATCTATTGTTCACACGGCTCTCTTTAAATCAAGAAACGACTCGCTTTAAAGGGAAATCCCTTCCCTCAACGGCACCCCTGTGGCTTGTTGACATCCCTCTCTCTGGTCAGGACACAAACAATCCCATTTTGGGAAGGGGGGGGGGTAGAGGTTTGACATAAATATTTATCATTTAATAAAGGCACAAGCAAAAACAAAAGACACACACGGTGAGGAAGTGGAACAAAAGAAGCTGATGGCAGTGCTGGTGCTGGGCCAGCAACGCATGATGGGTAATTATGCACACAAAGGAGGGGAGGAGAAAAAAAAACCCCAAACAACACAATGTTGGTCGCCTTTCTGCACAATTGTCATAAATAAGATGAAAGGGAGTTGGGGAGGGGGGGATGAAGGAAGGACAGCGAAGGAAAGAGATGAAAGAAGACAGAGAGGGGAAGAGAGAAAGGAGGAAAGGGATGGAAACGGGGATAGAAGGAAGGGATGGTGAGGGAAGGAAAGCAAATGAAAGAAAATGAAGATACGATTGACGGTAAATATTGGATGGAAACAAAGGAGGATGGAAGGAAGGAAGGAAGGAAGAAAGAAAGGATAGAAACAAAGGAGGGGAAGAAGGAGGGAAGATATGAAGGAAGCAAGGAACGAAGGAAGGAAGGCAGGCAGGCAGGTAGGAAGGAAGGAAGGAAGGAAAGTAAATAGAAGGATGGAGAGAAAAAAGTAAAGGGGTCAGCATGAATGGAAAGCAAAAGAAGGAAAGCAGACAGGAAAAGGTAAGAGGAGAGGCAGGACAGAAGGTAAGAAAGTAACTGGGAAGTAAATTCCTTGTTTCTTGCACGCATGGCCAATAAATCTGATTCAGAATCTGACAGAAGGTAAGAAAGTGGGGAAGGAAATGAAGGCTGGAAGGCGAGAAAGGAAAACGGAAGAAGGAAGGAATGAAGGAAGTATCGAAGAACGGAAAGACAAACAGCAAAATAAGCAGGATGGAAGTGATTGCGTTCGGGTCCCACTGATATGGATTTTTTTGAGGCCGATTCCGATATTTGGCAGAATAAAATTCCGACAACCGCTTAATCTGCCAATTCATTATAATTTTTTTTTTAATCATAAAATAAATTAAAAAAAAAGGGGGAAGTATTGTTTGAATGCCATCATGTTGTAATGTCTTATATATATATATATGGAATGAATATATGGAAATAAATAAACCGAGCGATGCATATTTAGCTAGCTTATATCGGCTGAGTAATTGGTCAGGCCTTGGACCAGACATATGTTTTCTTGTTTTGGGCCCGCTGGATGCTTCCAAACAAAAGAAAAGGCAGTCGACGTAAACAAACAGCTGCTGCCACAATCAAGCGGCAGCCACTGTGTGCATTTGACTTCTCCTCTGCCACCACCTCCTGCTATCATTTCCTTCGCACCCCCCCGCCCCCAACCCTCCCTCCTTGTTCTCTTTGGCCCTCCCATCGCTCTCTCTTATGTTTCATTAAAAAACATCAAAGGTCAAAGTGGCTCTCTTCTGTTTATCCAAACAAGCCATTACTGTAAACAAACCGTGGCTGTAAATTTCCCAGAAGATCTTGTTAAACGCACAAATGGCTCACGCTCAGAAAGGTGTTGCACTCAGCATTTGCGTGCATGCGTGCGAGATCCGCCTTTGTGGTGCTTCCAGCCCTAGTAGGGGCCCTGCACTTCCCATAAGGCAGTGGGTGGCGCTTAAAAAAAAAAAAGCCTGTGTCGTATGCTTATGTGTGTGCGTGTGTTTCCACTTGACTCCGGCTTTAAGAGTGATTAAGCTTTACAGGTTCCTAATGGCTGGTGGTAACCATGCCACCTAACTCCACACAGATGCTATCGCCGCTGGTAAACAAAGGTTACGAGCGGCCGCGAGGACCACGGCAAACACGTACAATAGAAACTAATAATAGTAATGGTAGCGACATATAAAGAGATGCATAATTTAAACTGTTACGTGTGTGTGTCCGTGTGTGTGTGTGTGTGTGCGCGCCAGATTGATAGTGTATTCCACACAGGCCTCCGTATAAGCCCTGTCATCTGTCTAAACACACTGATGTCGCTTTAACCTGTCGATAACGGCGGGGGGTGAGGAGTGGGAGCGTGAGGGGGTTGGAGCATCCGGCTTGTGTGCGTGTGTGTGTGTGTTGAACCATCGATCTTCCCCCCCGTTTGTCGTTTGCATTCAAGGTAGTGAATTACAGAGAAGGCTATTGATTGGTCTCCGGCCTCTCATCTTGGTCATCTCTCGATCTGGCGCTCTGTCCATCCCGGCCAGGAGGTGAGCAAAGCGCGACACGCGTGGCCACCTGCGGCCCGCTCTGTTCTTTGATGCGGTCCACATTTACATTAAGTGTCCGATAAGGCTTATTGAAGTTTGAAGATTTTTGTTGTTTGTCCTCATTCGCCCCACCATTGGCTGGAGACCATTCCAGGGTGTGCCCCCCCACCTCTCACCCAAAAACATTCCGGGATAGGCTGCGTCTCACCCACCATCCTCATGAGGACGCGCATGATGGAAAATCGCCGAATGTTGACATTTTCCTCACTTCATCTAGCAAACCGGGTTACAGCTCGCAACACGGACGACGTCACATGCGGAGTCCAATCAGCTGCATGTTAGCGCAGCTGCATGATTCGCATCGACAGTGCACGGATGTAACAATTGTGCGGCAATTAAGAACGTTTATGTGCATACACGTGTGAGCATGTGTGTGTGTCTGTGTGTGCGTGTGTGTGTCGAAAAAGAAATGACACCCACTCAATCCGGGACTGTGGTCGCCGTTCTCTCCGTTGTGGCCGCCATGCTGTTGGTTGCTGTGGTAACCGCCCATCTCCAGTTTGATCTTCTTGGCCAGGGCGGACAGATCTGCGAGAACAGATAAAAAAATGATATTGACGCTTAATCGGCAAAACTCTGGCCTATAATCTTTTTTTTGGGGGGGGGGAACATAATTGGCCCGACTTTTTCTATCCATTGTATAGCAAAAACGGTGGAGAGGAAGTTGCATACCACGCGTGCAATGAGAGCCACACTGATGTAACTAAACATAACCTCCTTAAGGTGGGGTGAGAGACAGAGCGAAGGGAAAGGCGATCAATAGCAGTTGGATCAATGGCCCCGGTGGAAGATTAAGCTCTACGGAAGGTTGTCACTGGAAGACATTCATTCCAGCCGCTCCGGTGCACCGCTCATTTAGTGTGGCAGGGAATCAAGCGAGACATTCATCTCTCCCGCACGGAGCACTCCGGTCAACACGCAACATTTTTGCTGTCCAATATTTGAAAGGAAGCAAGCAACTTCGATTCTATTTTTATTATTAATTTTTTTCTTAAATTTGTGCTCAATTTGCCTTTCAAGAGCGAGGAGAATAGCGAGGCCCATTTTCATTTCTTTCGTGAACCTCTGCGACGACTCTGACCCCGCGAGGGCAACCTTTCAAATTCATACAATTAAATATGTCTTGCGCTAATGCGGACAAACACGGCGAATTATTAAAACTGGACAACTGTGCAAACACCAGCGAGGAAATACAAACAAGGCCTTAAGTCTTAATTTCCTGATCTTGGCTACATCGAAACATTAGCGCCAAGCTCAACTGCTCTGTTTTTGTTCTTTTTTTTTTTTTCTCTCCTCCTTCGCCTTTTGCTCTGACAGGACTCTGTCGGAGCAAAAACGTCGACAACCACAACAAATTGTCCCCTTTTTTTCTTCTCATCTTCTGCACTGCCCTTTTTCCTCGCCTCACTTTTACCTTTTCAAAATGTCAGCATCACAGCGGGACGTCTGGCCGCCATGTTGCGTTTGTGTGTGTGGGGGAGACACTGAGGAGGGGATCACATCAAACGATTCCCACCGCCCATTTTTTTTTTTTAACGCTCAAATGTCCTCACCGGAACGCTCTCTCTCTCTCTTACTTTCTCTTCCTCTCTCTCATGTGGGCCTGCCTCTAATCAGGCGCGCTGACATTGCCGCCGCGCCCTCTCCTTGAGGTGGGAAAGAGAATGCTCCCCCCCCCCACCCCCAAAAACGGACGCTCTCGAGCAAAAATCACACACACACACACACACACACACACACACACACACACACACACACACGCAGCGAAGCACCTTTGAACAACAGGAACGGAAGCGGCGGCTAATAGAAAATCTTTTGAGGAGCAGAATAAAAAGATCAGTACGCAGAGACGACCACAAAGACAAGGGCAACTTTGAGATCGGTCAGGTGCCAACAATTACTTTTTTCCTCTCGTTTTTGACACACACACACACACGCACACACGCACAAGCGCGAAAAAAAACAAAAAGGACTCACAGACAAGCTTAATAACAAGGTGCTATGACCTTTCGTAGGCTTTTGAGTAATTAAAAACCAATTTCTAGGGCCCAACGAATATGGATTTTTGAGGCTGATGCAATCCCGATATTTGCCAGAATTAAATTCTAATAACCGATTTTCGTACAACCCCATGTATGATTCGTACCCATGTGAACCCCCCAACCACCCCCATCAATCAAAACATTTTGTGGGGGGTATTCATTGTTATAATCCTGTTGCATTTATGCAAGTATACAATTTTAATGCTCCCATTACATCACAATAATTTTATTTTATTTTATTTATTTATTTTTTGCTGTTTTAGCCAATGTTTGTGGATGAAAGTTTCCTCTGTTTCACTGTTTGGGTCAAGCTCCTCCACTGTTTTGAAGAGAGCGCCATGAGGGTGTGCAGGGAGAGAAAAAAAATCCTTGTGTTGAGGGGCTGTAATGAGCATGCCAAGCCAAGTACTGAAATGTACGAGCCCGCAAACGCACCACTTCATCGCAAAGTGATGTCACAAACACAGCAGCGATATTGCCGACGAAAACCGCACAGGAGGAATGGCACCTGTGTCACACTGTCAACATCCACGTGTGCTAAGTCACGCCTTTGAAAAGTAAAGCCGACAGCTCTCGCCGGCGCTGCTAGCCGCTAGCGCCGCCGAAGCTGGACGCTGGTAACAGGCCCCGTACAATACAGTGACAGCGTAATTAAGACAATGAGCGATTATTTCAGGAACGCTTACAAAAGTAAAGATATGAATTGCATGAATTACAATTATTTGTCCTTCAGTATTTGTTTAATTTTACAACAGAGTCCTCGTGTAAATCAGGTACTGTACCTCGATTGCTCCAGGATTTTTTTTTCTGCCTTCAAGCACCCGTTAATTTGGCGTGAAATACACCTAAATCACTCCCCGAAATAGGGTTTAAAAAAAAAAAAAAAAAAAATCTAATCATGCTGACATTGTAGAATGTGGCGTCTGCTTTCTATGTTAGCGACAAGTGGCTAGCAGATAGCCGCTAAACAAAGTGCCCCATATGGGGTGTCGAAAATGTTGATGCTGACAACCTGACGCAGTTAAAGTTCTTCTGTCAAATTAAAATCTCACTAATGTTTCCAGAGACGGAAACACAGTTTGCTATTATGCACATTTTAAATTTGGGGGGGAAGTTCATTATCTAAAAAAAAGACACTGGACCTGTCGCCAGCCGATGGCAAGGCACATATCCAGCAGCCGTTTACAAGACACAATCACATTCAGAGCAGTGGGAAAAATGTCCCAGCATTTTCTGTTACACAACAAGGTTGTGTAACAGAAAATGCTTTCATAGCCCTAGTTTCAAAATTCAAATTATGCTTAAACCTATCAGGAGATAATTAATAGCTCGCAAGTTTTGCAGGTTTGAAGATTACAAAGGACTTTTTGTGAACTTTATAGTTCAACGACGAAAAAAAAAAGAAAAAGTTTGCAGGTCTTTATCTGAGGTGTCAGCAGTGTGTGTTAATCTTATTAATCAGTCACCTCGTTCCACTCCGCCCTCCTCCTGCCAACACTTGCGTGGGCGCAATGCGTCGTTGCAACAAAGACACAAAAGTCACCTCATCCTCATTCTGCCCTGCATTTAGGTGATCTCCAACCTTTCATCTTCTATGGGGGCGTGTCCTCATTAGGGTCGCGGGCGAGCTGGAGCATTTCTCATCCCACTTCGGGCGCGGGCGCTGTACACCCTGAGCGGTTGCCGGGCAATTGCGGGGCACATATTGAAACCACTACTGCATCGTGCTGCCAGTTGAGAAACTGACGACTGCCAAATCATGAAAGAAATATTTTGCATTCTATTTTTTTCTTCCGTTGACTTAATATACGATAACCTTGCCCATTTTATCGTTTTAATTATAAAATGTGGACTTTGAGAACATAATTTTGCCCACCCCTTTAATAAAGAGGAAAAAAAAATGTATTACGAGCTAGAGTATGGACGAACATGCTCAAGTGGTGCCGTGTCTCTCCAAACGTGTGTGTGTGTGACATTTTCCAGTTGCCGTATGTTTTCTTCGTGTGCAGGTAACAGACAGCGTGCGTACGGTGAGTGCTGGGTGGTCACCTGCGGGAGGCATGATCCCGGCGTGCATCAGACCGCCGTGGGAGAGCATGTGGTGAGCGCCGCCGTCAGTCACCGTCTGCAGCCTCTTGGGCGGTCGGCCGGGCCTCGAACTGCGGGAGCACAACAACACTGGTTATTATTCACTTTGCTACTTTTCGCTCTCTTTTGAGTCACGCTGAGTTCTGAGACGGGTGGCCCGTGCCGAACAAAACTGGCCTTCGAGTCTATAAAATTCAATGAGGACGGAGTTGTGGGATAACAAGTGAAATGTGAGTGATTTCCTGGAAGACTGCTGCACAGCAAATCTGCCCTCCCGCCCCCGTAGATACGAGCAAAGTAAAAAAAAAAAAAAAAGACAAAAAAAGGCGAGTTTCCCCCTATGGCATCAATAAAGCGCCTCATTACTGTTCAGCTTACTCATTCATTTGTGTGCTTATTAAATGTGCGCGCTCGCCCACTGCTCCTTGTTGTCTCACTTGGCCATTTGTTACGAGATTTTCTTCTCACTTCAAGCAGACTCACACTGGGCCAATTGTCGTGAACGGTGCGGGAACACAGTTGCCCTCTTCCTACATTGTCCCGCCGCCCGGCCCGCACTCCACCGTGCTCAAGCACGTTCATGCGTGTCATCGCTTTGACTACTTTCTTGACTCTGTAGCTTCTTGCAAGTCGCTCCGGCTCTGAAGAAGTACGAACGGCCATAGCCCGGCCATCCAGACGTCACGTGTCGTCCATTCGTCTGCGCGGTCAGGCTTGTGGTGTTGACTGCGGCCTTCTATGCCGCAATTGGGCCGGACATGCTCAATCAATCCCATTTGCGGGCTTGGGGGGGGGGGGGGGCGCGAGGGGGGGCGGCGATGGTGAAAAGCTGTCAGACATCACTTGGGCTCTGACTAAACGGTGTGAATGTCCTGACAGGGGGAATGACACGGGCCACATCAGGCTTAATGACAAGCACGGCGCCTCATCTCCTCTCGTACTACACACTTCATATCGTCAGAACTGTGGGCGCGCGTATGCCCGCGAGGAAGGATATTAAAAGACGGGAGGCGAGGCGAAAGAAAGTGTGCAGAGGAGGAGGAAAGGTGGAGGGAGAGATGGAATACACGGAAGGAGGGTCCGAGAGATTAAAAAGAACGAAGAGAGGGCGATAGACGAGCGGCAGCCGCTTCCTAGCGTGGGGTGTCTTTGAGCAGATTTTAATTAGAATCTAATCCAGCCGTCATTAAGGGCCCATAAACGAAGCTGTCAGTCAGGAGATTAATGGCGCCTCATTTGCATATTGCATATAATTCATCAATTACCCAGCAGAAAGGACCAATCCCCTGTTGACACACCCACTGGCTGCGTGTGTGTGTGTGTGTGTGTGTGTGTGTGTGTGTGTGTGTGTGTGTGTGTGTGTGCGTGCGCACGCCGAAGACAGACGGATTATGTAGCCACTAACTGAGACAAAAACAGGTAGCTCCATCGCGTGTGTGTGTGTGTGTGTGTGTGTGTGTGTGCGTGTGCGTGCGCAAGCTCAAAGCAATATGTGTGTACCGTATATGAAGTGTTCAAAGGTTAATTTGATGAGCCGATGAGCTCCACAGTTCCTGCCCTCGGTTTTAATGAGTTGTTATTATTGTCTCTTATTATGGGCCCAGACCGACTGGGATGTGACAGCTGACATCAGATATCACACACACGCGCACTCCTACACACACGCACGTACGCACGCACGCACGCGGGCGCAGAGACACGTTGAGGTTTTCACACAGGAACGCGTGCGCAAAAGGGATTTGTTGGCAAACGTGGGGAGGAAATCTTGTCGGAGCAGATGCATGCCGACGGGCTGGTTGGAAAAATGTCTGCCTTAAGAAAGAATCTCAAGTGAATTAGAGGTTGACTTATATGGGTTTTTTTTTGCTTTTTTTGGGGGGGGAGGCGATATCGATCATTAGTTATCGGGGATGCGGAGAACCGAGGTTTAGAGCCGATGTTGGATTTGGCATCATAATACAACCTTTCAGCTTATGTTTCTTCCACAGCCCCTCCCGCCGACCCCCCGCAAAAAAAGAATACTGTCAAAAATGTCAATATAACAGAAATATTTGTCTTTCATGTGGTTTTTGGTTCAAACAAAAATGAAAAGTGCAGCGAGCTGCACAGGGTCAATAGTATCTCTCAAAATTCAAATCAATCAATCGTCCCCTGAAGTTTACCCGCAGCTTTCGTTGCAATTTATCAAATGAAATTCCAAATGGTGTTTTGCCAAATGGCAGATGGGACTTATTGCGAAAGTTCACGGGACCGCATCACTCGTCTGATGCCACCTTTGTCTCTCGGTATTTCAACACCACTCGGGCACCACAAGACTGAAATGAGCCCTAAGTTTTACTCTTTATTTTGAAAGTTGACTTCATAACAAGTAATATGTAGAGATCATAAACTGCCACCGACTCCCAGTAGCTCCCATATGTCAACGAGTACAGAAGTTTTTGACTACTTGTATTCCAAAAGCATTCAACTTGTGAGTTGCTACATTTTTTTTTTTTTAACAGTGCATCAAGTGACATACTGTGCCGCACAAAAGCAGGATACATATTTTTAGGCGGCTAGTTTGAAGCTAAAGCGCCTTCAATTGACAACACACACTTCAAATAAAAGGTAAAAAGCACCACTGGAGGGAAATCAGACAGCCAAAGAGTGTGGTTCCTTTTTTTTTCTTTTTTCTCTTTTACTGCAGCCGCTTCCCTTTCCCTCACAACTGTTTATTTGCACACACTAATTAATGGCCTGTGCGTGCTGATGGCTCGGTGCACCTTTGCGCGTTTAGAACGGGGGAGAATCAAGTAGACACTGGAAAGGGAGGAAAAAAAAAAAAAGAATAGGAACCTAATTTTGTGTTTAGTCTTCAAGTGTGTTGATACATCAAAGTGACCCGCAGAGGGAGGTCTATATGTGTGTTGTTGCTCATGTATGTGTGTTGTTCGCGTGTGTGTGTGTGTGTGTGTGTGTGTGTGTGTGTGTGTGTGTGTGTGTGTGTGTGTGTGTGTGTGTGTGTGTGAGGTTGAAGAGCGCTGGGTTCCCTGAGGTAGGATTAATGAAAAAGCCTTTCATGGAAAAGTCATCAAGCTGAGGGGATGGAATGAGAGAGAGGAGGAGGGGGAGAAGAGGGGGAGAAAAAAACAGTGCATTGTGTGTGTGTGTGTGTGTGTGTGTGTGTGTGTGTGTGTGTGTGTAAGGTGTGCACAGAGGAGGGGGTGTATGGCTTATGACCTCTTTGTCTCAAACTTTAATTAAAATCTCACCCAGACGTCCTCGCTCATGCCAGCACTGGCCACACACACACACACACACACACACACACACACACACACACACACACACACACACACACACACACACACATTTCATCAAAACACAGGCAGAAAGGCATGACGGTTTACATTGAGTTCTGCCCTCCGTGCTTATCGAGTGTGAGTGTCTTACCTGTGTGTAACGTGAAACGGCAAACACGGCAGCTGGAGCTGAACGCAGGTGGAACAGAAAAGGAAACATAACAAAGATGACAGATCTGGCCCAAAACACATTGGCGGGGAGGAAGTGCCAGAGTCAAAACAGTGGAAGAGCTACAGGCTCACTGGAGGTGCTGATAGGGAGCAGCTGCATGTACAAATGTGGCCCACGGTGTGTGTGCGTGGTGTGTGTGTGTGTGTGTGTGTGTGTGTGTGTGTGTGTGTGTGTGTGTGTGTGTGTGTGCGTGTGTGTGTGTGTTTTTGTCATAGTGGCCGGAAGTGTTTCTTCACTCAACTGCAGAGAGGACCCGGCATCTTTTTTAAAGGCGAAGGTGAAAACCAACACAATCGAGAAAAAAGAACCCCAGCGCGCATGTGACATCAAGTTGGGATCAATTTGACGTTGCCGATTGGATTTTGGTGTCATATTGATGTCGAATTGGTATCAGATGCCCACTGGGACATGCCTGATCTATTTACCAAAACACAACTTTTGTGAGTATTCCTTCTAAATATTTTATCTTCAAACTATATCGCTTTGTGTAAGGAAAAGCCACGAGCCCGACAGTAATAATTCATGAGAAATGCCATAGATGGGCTAACAGAAATGAGTTTGACTGTTACTTAAATACACAACGAGCAGGAACACGCACAAACTGTGACAGAACGCTCATATTTTCTCTCTGCTTTGTGGGAATGGCTATGACCTGACGCTTGCTCTTAATTAGTAGACCGCAGCGCTGTCCGGCACAACGTAACGCTGCACCGACACAGGCGCACAACTTTGAATTCAGACTTGCCTGTAAAAATCCTATAAAACTGATTGCTTCAAAATCGGTGACATCCTGTCGCGGGCCTCAAACAATGAACCGTGATATCGAGAGGAAACTGCAGAGCGCAGCCTCGGTTTTTGTTTCTGTTCCAGAGAGTCTGAATTGAAGAAAAACCAAAGCAGAAATTCCCACAAAAGTTTTCTCTGTGTCCCTTTTCATGTGTTGTTTGTCGCGTTGGGTTAGAAGAAAAACTCAGAGAGATGACGACCAACGGCTTGTTCTGACTTAACGTGCAAATTTAAGTCACAGGAGTGTGCGAATTTGTTTCAAGAGAACGATTCATGAACGAACGCCGCTAGTTGTGGGAATACGGTAGGCAGGAGAAGGAAAAGACACAACTTGCCCGAACGAGATTTGGTTTGGAATACATAAGCCGCCCGTTTACAACTCCCACGATCCCCATCCTTGCAATCTGCGTTTATCACCCCGCGTTTGTATTCGCCGTCACGGTCGGCTTTGATAAATCATAACCATCGCCATCATCACGTCATCATGGCCGCCGCCGCCGCGTGAAGGAGGACCGAGTAAGATTGATCGCCGCGTTCCGCCTCTTAAAACAAAGACGGATCGGGAACTGCGATGAAAAAAAAAAAAAAAAAGCGAGATGTGCTATTGTTATTAGGGAGGCCTGAGAGATGATGTCATGAGGAGCAGGAAGGACAACTCACGCGTACGCACGCGCGCGCACACACACACACACACACACACACACACACACACACACACACACACACACACACACACAGGACGTTTGATCATGGCAAGAATCCGATTTCCGAGACTGATAGCGCATTGCATTCCTCTCCTACATTCCAGGGTCAAGACGATCTCAAGACTTTGTGTGTGTGTGTGTGTGTGTGTACGTGTGTGTGTGTGTGTCACTCCATTACAGCCTGTCGGAGATGATGTGGAGGTCCCCCATGTCAGCCTACTCTTCTCAAGACAACATCAAAAGAGTGCGAGGGTTAAAGTTGAGCTAAACGCGGCACCCAAAAG